TATACATATATTTTATTTTTACTTCTTCTATAACTAAACATCTGCTATTCCCTAGCATATAAAATAAATATATATAGCTTCTAAAAACATGGTGCAAGGCCAGAAACATTGGCTCACACCTGTAATTCCAGCACTTTGGGAGGCCACCATGGCAGGATTATGTGAGCCCAAGAGTTTGAGACCAGCTTAGGCGACATAGGGAGATCCTGTCTCTACAAAACAATTTTAAGAAAATTAGCTGATCATGGCGGCATGCACCTGTGGTCCCAAGCTAATTGGGAGGCTGAAGTAGGAGGATCACTTGAACCCAGGAGCTTGAGGTTGCAGTGAGCTATGAGGCTGGCCGCAGTGGCTCGCACCTGTAATACCAGCACTCTGGGAGGCCAAGGCGGGCAAATCACCTGGGATCAGGAGCTGGATACCAGCCTGACCAATATGGTGAAACCCTGTCTCTACTAAAAATAGAAAAATTAGCCAGGCATGGTGGGTGCCTATAGTCTCAGCTACTTATGAGGCTGAGACAGGGAGAATTGCTTGAATCTGGGATTACTTTATTTCTTCATGTAAAAAAGAAAAAAACAGCCGGGCGCGGTGGCTCAAGCCTGTAATCCCAGCACTTTGGGAGGCCGAGGCGGGTGGATCACGAGGTCAAGAGATCGAGACCATCCTGGTCAACATGATGAAACCCCATCTCTACTAAAAATACAAAAAATTAGCTGGGCATGGTGGCGCCTGTCTGTAATCCCAGCTACTCAGGAGGCTGCGGCAGGAGAATTGCCTGAACCCAGGAGGCGGAGGTTGCGGCGAGCCGAGATCGCGCCATTGCACTCCAGCCTGGGTAACAAGAGCGGAACTCCGTCTCAAAAAAAAAATAAATAAATAAAATAAATAAAAAAAAAATAAAAAAGAAAAAACAGTCTTACTCACTGTCACCCAGTCTGGAGTGCAGTGGTGAGATCTCAGCTCACTGCAATCACTTCCTCCCAGGTTCAAGTGATTCTCCTGCCTCAACTTTCCAAGTAGCTGGAATTATAGGCATGCACCACTACCCATGGCTAATTTTTATAATTTTAGTAGAGATGAAGTTTCACCATATTGGCCAGACTGGTCTTGAACAGTTCTGACCTGAAGTAATCTGCCAGCCTCAGCTCCCCAAAGTGCTAGGATTACGGGCGCGAGCCACTGAGTCCGGCCTAAGATTATTTTTATAATCAGAAGAAATATTACTTAAGTTTTTGTTAGTCTTTCCAACTTTTCATTTGGAAATGCTACTAAATTGATAATCAAAAACATGATTGTGACAGAAAAGGCCTTTGGTGCTACGTGAGCACTTGGTCACTCAGTAAGATAGAAACTCAGTTTCTGTGGAGAAGGGACTACAGTGACACAGAATAAACCTGAGAATGACTGAATTTCCTCTGCAGGATAAACCACAGGGGAGTGCACAGCACCCCAGTCACCCAAGGGTTGGGGGACACCAAGAGACACCCCAGGGAGGAGGGGAGCAAGGCAGAGCTGGGGGAATGCTCTGGAAATGTCAGAGCCTGGGTTGATCCTGTTCAGATTTCTGACTTCTTTGTGCTCATCCTCTATCAGAGCTGCTCACACTGTCTCCTTTTCTCAGACCCTAGGGCTTAAATGATGAGTTGTTAATGAACCAGAGACCAGGGTGCACAGGACAAGCAGCTGTGTTAAAAGGTGCTGTATTGGCCGGGCGCGGTGGCTCAAGCTCGTAATCCCAGCACTTTGGGAGGCCGAGGCGGGTGGATCACGAGGTCAAGAGATCGAGACCATCCTGGTCAACATGGTGAAACCCCGTCTCTACTAAAAATACAAAAACTTAGCTGGGCGTGGTGGCACGTGCCTGTAATCCCAGCTACTCAGGAGGCTGGAGAATTGCCTGAACCCGGGAGGCGGAGGTTGTGGTGAGCCGAGATCGCGCCATTGCACTCCAGCCTGGGTAACAACAGCGAAACTCCGTCTCAAAAAAAAAAAGGTGCTGTATCCTAGAACCACAGGGGACTCACAGTGGTTTCATTCCATCAAATAAATTCTTTTTGGATGGTGTAAATACAGGATTTCGTGGAAAGAGTCTTAAGTTCAAATTTTGATAGGAAGACATAGATAAAACAATTTATTTACTTTTTGACATAGGGTCTCCCTCTGTTGCCCAGAGTGGAGTGCGGTGGCATGATCAGGACTCACTGCAATGTTGACCTCCCAGGTTCAAGTGATCCTTCCACTTTAGCTTCCTGAGGAGCTGGAACTATGTGTGCTGTCACCACACCTGGCTAATTTTTTTTTTTTTTTTTTTTTTTTTTAGTGGAAATGAAGTCTCCCTATGTTGCCCAGGCTGGTCTAGTGCTCCAGGAATCAAATGATCTTCCTGCTTGGGTCTCCCAAAATGCTGAATTGCAGGTATGAGCCACCAAGCCTAACCTTGAATTCTTAAAATTATCTGTAGCACATGTGAATAGAGTTTGTGAACTATACACGAACTTTAAAGTCATAATATGCATTAACCTAAGAATATTGTAGTAGAGTTAGGCTTTTGCAGGAATCTCCGCCAGCCTCGTAAATATTCACTAAACAATGACTCTTTTCAGGGCCCCCATCCTTAGTAGTTGTCAATATCCTATTAGCTATGATCATTTGAATAGAAGGTGCCTGGGGATGAGGGGTCATTAATTCCAGTATCTGATTCAGACAATACTAACCCCCAGGCAATCTGGCACCAATCCCATTTGTACTGTAAGCTGTTGTTGGCAATTCTCTCTGAGAAACACTTTAGAAACATAATCCCTGGTAAAGAGCAGCAGAAAGCTCTACACTGCAAGTAAAACTAAATATCATTTCCAAATGTAAATTGTTTGACAATTAAAAAAATACAATTTAAATAATAGCATGAATGGGCTGGGCAGGTTGGCTCATGTCTGCAGCCCCAGGACTTTGGGAGGCCAAGATGGGCGGATCACTTGAGATCAGGAGGTTGAGGCCAGCCTGGCTAACATGGAGAAACCCGGTCTCTACTAAAAAAACTACAAAAATTACCTGAGTGCACCTGTAATCCCAGTTACTCAGGAGGCTGAGGCCTGAGAATCACTTGAACCCAGAAAGCGGAGTTTGCAGTAAGCTGTGATTGTGCCACTGCACTCTAGCCTGGGCCGCAGAGTGACACCCTGTCTCCAGTAAATAAATAAATAAATAATACCAAGAGTGAAGAGCTTTGAAAAACAGATATATGTCAGGGTGGGCCAGGTGACTAGTGCCTGTAATCCCAGCATTTTGAGAGGCCAAGGTGGGTGGTTAAGCTGATGTCAGGAATTTGAGACCAGCCTGGTCAACATGATGAAACCCCGTCTCTACTAAAAACACAAAAATTACTGGCGGGGAGATACCATGATCATGAAGGTGGTTTTCCCAGGGCAAGGCTCATCCATTGCACTCCAGATGCCGGATGTGCTGACCCCTGTGATTTCCCCAAATGTGGTAAACTGAACTGCAAAGCTTGTGGTAGTGGGGGACTGTGTTTGTGCATTCCCCTGATAAAAAATAAATAAAAAAAATTAGCCAGATGTGGTAAATGCCTGTAATTCCAACTACTTGGGAGGCTGAGTGAGGAGATTTGCTTGAACTCAGAGGCAGAAGTTGAAGTGAGCTGAGATTACACCACTGCACTCCAGCCTGGGTGACAGAGCAAGACTCCGTATCAAAAAAAAAAAAAAAAAAAAAGGCTGGAAATTTTTCTTTTGTTCAAAATAAAGATGGGCATCTTGCTTTTTTGACCAGGCTGGTGTCCAACTCCTTGCCTCAGATGATCCTCCTGTCAGCCTCCCAAAGTGTTGGGATTACAGGTATGAGCCACCACACATGGCCTATCCTGGAAATATTTGCACCTGATCTAGGAGATTGTATTAAGTGTCTTTAAAGTTCTTTTACATTCTGAGTCCGGTGCTGTGGCTCATGCCAGTAATCCCAGTACTTCAGAAAGACAAGGGAGGCAAATTACCTACAGTTAAGAGTTTGAGACCAGCCTGGCTAACATGGCGAAACCCTGTTTCTAGTAAAAATACAAGTATTTGCCAGGCATGGTGGTGTGCATCTGTAATCCCAGCTACTCAGGAGGCTGAGGCAGGAAAATCCCTTGAACCCAAGAGGCAGAGGTTGTGCAGTTAGCCGAGATCTCTCATCATTGCACTACAGCCTGAGCAACAAGAGCAAAACTCAATCTCAAAACAAACAAACAAAAAAAACGTCTTTTACATTCTGTCTTCATTCATCCATTCTATAGAAGGATGGTTTAGACAATAAACCGGAATGAGTGGACCCTCTCTCCAAGAATGGGCTTTACACTTGTAGCCAAAAGATTGCAAAGTGAGACAAAGCAATGTGGCTCACACCTGTAGTCTCATCTGGTAGGGAGGCTGAGATAGGAGGATCATTCCACCCCAGGAGGTTGATGACACATTCACCCGAGACTGCACCACTGCACTTCATTCACTCCAGCCTAAACCACACCGTAAGACTCTATCTTAATAAATAAATAAATAAATAAATAAAAAATTTTTAAAAATTGCAAAGTGAATATGCTGTTGTTTAGGGTTGGGCATGGCGGCTCACTTCTTTAATCCCCGAACGTAGAGTGTCCGAGGTGGGCAGATCATGAGGCCAAGAGTTCGAGACCACTCTGGCCAATATGGTGAAACCCTGTCTCTACTAAAAACACAAAAATTAGCCGGGTGTGGTGGCAGGCCCTGTAGTACCAGCTACTCAGGAGGGTGAGAAAGGAGAATCACTTGAACCTGTGAAGTGGAGGTTGCAGTGAGCTGAGATTTCGCCCCTGCACTCCAGCCTGGGTGACAGAGTGAGACTTCATCTCAAAATATATATAAAATATATATTTTATATATTTTTTACATAAAAATATGTATATATACAGTTGTTTAAATTTAAAATAAAGTGTTTAGGCATATATCATATTTTATTATTTTCCACATTAACTCACTTCTTCAATAACTAAACATCTGTGATTCCCTAACATATAAAATAAATATATATGGCTTCTAAAAACATGGTACAAGGCCAGGCACAGTGGCTCACATCTGCAACCCCAGCACTTTGGCAGGCCACATTAGAAGAATTACATGAGCCCAAGAGTTTGAGACCAGCCTAGGTGACATAGATCCTGCCTCTACAAAACAATTTTAAGTAAATTAGCTGATCATGGCAGCATGCACCTGTGGTCCCAGCTACTTGGGAGGCTGAAGTGGGAGGATCATTTGAGCCCAGGAGCTCCAGGCTGCAGTGAGCTATGATTATGCCACTGCACTCCAGCCTGGGTGACAGAGTAAGATCCTGTCTCAAAAAATAAAAAAATAACAAAACACGGTAGAAAAAAATGACTGATATACTAAAATACTGATAATACATTTAGGTGAAAAGAAGGATAGAGATTTCACAGCAGTTATCTCTATCTCACTAACTGTGGTCATTTTAATAGAAGGTGCCTGGGGTGAGAGGTCATCAGCTCCAATATCTAATTCAGACAATGCCTATTCCCAGCCCATCCAGCACCAATCCCACAGGCAGTCTAAGCCATGGTTGCCAATTGTCTCTGAGGAACACTTGGGAAATCTACTCCCTGATAAAGAACAGCAGAAAGCTATACTATAAGTAAAACTAAATACCGATTCCAAATGTAAATTGTTTGACAATTTAAAAAAATACTGTTTAAATAATAGCAGGAATGGACTGGGCAGGGTGGCTCATGCCCGTAGCCCCAGGACTTTGGGAGGCTGAGATAGGTGGATCACTTGAGATCAGGAGGTTGAAGCCAGCCTGGCTAACACAGAGAAACCTGGTATCTACTAAAAAAAAAAAAAAAAAAAAAACTGCAAAAATTACCCAGGTGCTCCTGTAATCCCAGTTACTCAGGAGGCTGAGGTCCTAGAATCACTTGAACCCAGAAAGCGGAGTTTGCAGTAAGCTGTGATTGTGCCACTGCACTCTAGCCTGGGCCGCAGAGTGACACCCTGTCTCCAATAAATAATGCCAAGAGTGAATAGCTTTGAAAAACAGATATATGTAGCCGGGCGCGGTGGCTCAAGCCTGTAATCCCAGCACTTTGGGAGGCCGAGGCGGGTGGATCACGAGGTCAAGAGATCGAGACCATCCTGGTCAACATGGTGAAACCCCGTCTCTACTAAAAATGCAAAAAAAATTAGCTGGGTATGGTGGCACATGCCTGTAATCCCAGCTACTCGGGTGGCTGAGGCAGGAGAATTGCCTGAACCCAGGAGGCGGAGGTTGCGGTGAGCCGAGATCGCGCCATTGCACTCCAGCCTCGGTAACAAGAGCAAAACTCCGTCTCAAAAAAAAAAAAAAAGAAAAAGAAAAACAGATATATGTCAGGGTGGGCCAGGTGGCATGTTCCTGTAATCCCAGCACTTTGGGAGGCCGAGGTGGGTGGTTAAGCTGATTTCAGGAATTTGAGATCAGACTGGTCAACATGGTGAAACCCTATCTCTACTAAAAACACAAAAATTACTGGCGGGGAGATACCAGGATCATGAAGGTGGTTTTCCCAGGGTGAGGCTCATCCATTGCACTCCAGATGTGCTGACCCCTGCAATGTCCCCAGATGTGGGAAACTGGACTGCAAAATTTGTGGTAGTGGGGGACTGTGTTTGTGCTTTCTCCTGATAAAAAATAAAAATAAATAAATAAATTAGACAGGTGTGGTGGTATACATCTGTAGTTCCAACTACTTGGGAGGCTGAGTGAGGAGACTTGCTTGAACCCGGAGGCAGAAGTTGCAGTGTGCTGAGATCATGCCACTATACTCCAGCCTGGGTGACAGAGTCAAACTCCATATTAAAAAAAAAAAAAAAAAAAAAAAAGAAGGCTGGGAATTTTTTACTTTAAAAATAAAGATCGGGATCTTGCTTTGTTGACAAGGCTGGTGTAAAACTCTTCACCTCAAATAATCCTCCTGTCAGCCTCTCAAAGTGTTGGGATTACAGGTATGAGCCACCACACCTGGCCCGGCCTGGAAATATTTGCACCTGATCTAGGAGGTTGTATTAAGTGTCCTTAACATTCTTTTACATTCTGAGCCTGGCGCTGTGGCTCACGCCAGTAATCCCAGCACTTTGGAAAGCCAAGGGAGGCAGATAACCTTAAGGTCAAGAGTTTGAGATCAGACAGGCCAACATGGTGAAACCCCGTTTCTACTAAAAATGTAAAAATTTGCCAGGCATGATGGTGTGCATCTGTAATCCCAGCTATTCAGGAGGCTGAGGCAGGAAAGTCTCCTCAACCCAGGAGGCAGAGGTTGTGCAGTGAGCTGAGATCTTTCACCATTGCACACCAGCCTGGGTGACAAGAGCAAAACTCCCTCTCAAAAAAAAAAAAAAAAAAAAAAAAGAAAAGATCTTTTATGTTCTGTCTTTATTTATCCATTCTATAGAAATCAAAACTGGATATTATAGGGATGGTTTCGACAAGAAACTGGAATAAGTGGACTCACTTTCCAAAAATGGGCTTTACACCTGTTGCTAAAAGACTGCAAAGTGAGACAGGGCGAGGTGGCTCACACCTATTATTCCAGCACTTTGGAGGCTGAGGTGGGCAGATCACTTGAGTCCAGGAATTTGAGACCAGCCTGGGTAACATGGCAAAAACCTTGCCTCTACAAAATATACAAAAAAATGCAGCTGTAGTCCCATCTAGTAGGGACAGTAGTTAGTGGGCTAGAGATAACTGCTTTGGGGCCAGGTGCGGTGGCTCAAGCCTGTAATCCTAGCACTTGGGGAGACTAAGGCAGGTGGATCACGAGGTCATAAGATCAAGACCATCCTGGTCAACATGGTGAAACCCCGTCTCTACTAAAAATACAAAAAAATTAGCTGGGCATGGTGGCGCATGCCTGTAATCCCAGCTACTCAGGAGACTGAGGCTGGAGAATTGCCTGAACCCAGGAGGCGGAGGTTGCGGTGAGCCGAGATCGCGCCATTGCGCTCCAGCCTGGGTAACAAGAGCGAAACTCCATCTCAAAAAAAAAAAAAAGATAACTGCTATGAATTATGCATCTTTGCATACAGCACAGGGCCCTGAAAAGAGTCATTGTTTAGTATATGTTTACTGACTGGCTCAGATTCCTGCAAAAGCCTAACTTTGCTACAATGTTGTCAGGTGAATGCCTATGATGACTTTAAAGTTCGTGTAGAGTTCACAAACTCTATTCACATGTGCTACAGATAACTTTAAAAGAATTCAGAGCTGAACAGGGTGGCTCACACCTGCAATTCTAGCACTTTGGAAGACCCAAGCAGGAAGGTCGTTTAAGTCCAGGAGTTCAAGACCAGCCTGGACAACATTGGGAGACACCCATCTCCACAAAAAATTTTTTAAAAAAATTAGCCGGGGGCTGGGCGCGGTGGCGCAAGCCTGTAATCCCAGCACTTCGGGAGGCTGAGGCGGGTGGATCACGAGGTCAAGAGATCGAGACCATCCTGGTCAACATGGTGAAACCCCGTCTCTACTAAAAATACAAAAAATTAGCTGGGCATGGTGACGTGTGCCTGTAATCCCAGCTACTCAGGAGGCTGAGGCAGGAGAATTGCCTGAACCCAGGAGGTGGAGGTTGCGGTGAGCCAAGATTGCGCCATTGCACTCCAGCAAAAAAAAAAAAAAAAAAAATTAGCCAAGTGTGGTGACAGTACCTGCAGTCACAGCTACTCAGGAAGCTAAGGTGGGAGGACCACTTAAACCTGGAAGGTCCAGGTTACAGTGAATGGTGATTGTGCCACTGCAACAGAGGGAGACCCTATCTCAAAAACTAAATAAACCATTGTATCTATATGTTGCTACCAAATTCTAATGTTTGAACTCAGGACTCTTTTCATCAAATCCTGTATTTATACCACCCAAAAAGAAGTTATTTGATGGAAGTAGGGAAGCTAAGATGGGAGGATCATTCCTGCCCAGGAGGATGATGATGTATTCACCTGAAATTGCACTACTACACTTCATGCACTTCAGCCTGAATGACACCCTAAGACTCTATCTCAAAAAAAGAAAATGAAAAAGAAAAAAGATTGCAAAGTGAATATGCTGTTGGCCAGACTTGTCTTGAAGTCCTGGCTTCAAATGATCTGCCTGCCTAGGCCTCCCAAGGTGTTGGGATTACAGGGGTGAGCTACCTCATCTGGCCTAAGATATTTATTTATTCATTCGTTTATTTATTTTTATGAGACAGAGTCTTGCTCTGTCACCAGCTGGAGTCCAGTGGCGCTATCTCCGCTCACTGCAACTTCCCAGGTTCAAGTGGTTTCCCTGCCTTAGCCTCCTGAGTAGCTGGGACTATGGGAGAGTGCCACCATGCTCAGCTAATTTTTATTTTGTATTTTAGTAGATACCGGGTTTCACCATATTGGCCAGGATTGTCTCAATCTCCCGACCTCATGGGCTACCCGCCTCTGCCTCCCAAAGTGCTGGGATTACTCACATGAGCCACGGTGCCCAGACAGATTATTTTCATAATCAGAGGAATCTTCGCAACTCTTCTTGTGGGAATGCTACTAAATGCATAATCAAAAAATGATTGTGGCCGGGCGCGGTGGCTCAAGCCTGTAATCCCAGCACTTTGGGAGGCCGAGGCGGGTGGATCACGAGGTCGAGAGATCGAGACCATCCTGGTCAACATGGTGAAACCCCGTCTCTACTAAAAATACAAAAAAGTTAGCTGGGCATGGTGGCGCGTGCTTGTAATCCCAGCTACTCAGGAGGCTGAGGCAGGAGAATTGCCTGAGCCCAGGAGGCGGAGGTTGCGGTGAGCCGAGATCGCGCCATTGCACTCCAGCCTGGGTAACAAGAGCGAAACTCCGTCTCAAAAAAAAAAAAAAAAATGATTGTGACAGAAAAGGCCTTTGGTGCTACATGAGCACATGGAGGTCACGCAGTGAGACAGAAATTCAGTTTCTGTGGAGAATGGACTGCAGTGACACAGACTAAACCTTGGAATGACTTAATTTCCTCTGCATGGCACCCCTATCACCTGGGGGGGGGGGCACACCAGGAGACACAGCAGGGAGGAGGTGGGCAGGGGAGAGCTGGGGGAATGTTCCGGAAAGGTCAGAGTCTGGGTTGATTTCTGTTCAGGTTTCTGACTTCTTTGTGCTCATCATCCATCAGAGCTGCTCACACTGTCTCCTTTTCTCAGACCCTAGGGCTTAAGTTATTGAACCAGAGACCAGGGTGCACAGGACAAGCAGCTGTGTTAAAAGGTGCTGTATCCTAGAACCACAGGGGACTCACAGGGGTTTCATTCCATCAAATAAATTCTTTTTGGATGGTGTAAATACAGGATTTTATGAAGAGTCCTGAGTTCAAATATTAGAATTTGGTAGCAACATACAGATACAATGGTTTATTTAGTTTTTGAGATAGGGTCTCCCTCTGTTACCCAGACTGGAATGCAGTGGCACAATCACCACTCACTATAACCTGGACCTTCCAGGTTCAAGTGGTCCTCCCACCTTAGCTTCCTGAGTAGCTGTGACTACAGATACTATCACCACACCTGGTTAATTTTTGTGTGTGTGTATAGATGGCATCTCCCTATTCTGCCCAGGCTGGTCTCAAACTCCTGGGCTCAAATGATCTTCCTGTTCTGGTCTCCCCAAATGCTAGAATTGCGGGTGTGACCCACCCTGTTCAGCTCTGAATTCTTAAAGTTATCTGTAGCACATGTGAATAGAGTTTGTGAACTCTACACGAACTTTAAAGTCATCATAGGCATTCACCTGACAACATTGTAGCAGAGTTAGGCTTTTGCAGGAATCTGAGCCAGTCAGTAAACATTCACTAAACAATGACTGACTCTTTTCAGGGCCCTGTGCTGTATTGCAAAGATGCAGATTTCATATCACTATCCCACTAACTACTGTCATTTTAATAGAAGGTGCCTGGGGGTGACAGGTCATGAGCTCCAATATCTAATTCAGACAATGCCTACTCCCAGCCCATTTGGCACCAACTCCATAGGCAGTCTAAGCCATGGTTGCCAATTGTCTCTGAGGAACACTTGAGAAATCTACTCCCTGATAAAGAACGGCAGAAAGCTATACTGCAAAACCAAGCTACATATCAATTGGAAATGTAAATTTTCTAATTGTCTGACAAGAAAAAATACAATGTAAATAATAGCAGGAATGGGCTGGGGGTGGTGGCTTATGCCTGTATCCCCAGCACTTTGGGATGCTGAGGTGAGTCGATTACTTCAGGTCAGGAGGCCCAGACTAGCCTGGCTAAAATGGAGAAACCAGGTCTCTACTGAAAAAAAAACCAAAAAACAAAAAACAAAAATTAGCTGAGCGTGGTGGCATGGGCTATAATCCCAGTTACTCAGGAGGCTGAGGCCAGATAATCACTTGAACCCAGGAAGTTGAGGTTGCAGTGAGCTGAGATTGTGTCACTGCACTCCAGCCTGGGTGACAGAGTGAGACCCTGTCTCCAAAAAATAAGTCAATTAAGAAATAATACCAAAAGTTAAGAGCTTTTAAAAACATATATGTGAGGGCCGGGCGCGGTGGCTCATGCCTGTAATCCCAGCACTTTGGGAGGCTGAGGCGGGTGGATCACAAGGTCAAGAGATCGAGACCATCCTGGTCAACATGGTGAAACCCCGTCTCTACTAAAAAATACAAAAATTAGCTGGGCATGGTGGCGCATGCCTGTAATCCCAGCTACTCAGGAGGCTGAGGCAGGAGAACTGCCTGAACCCAGGAGGTGGAGGTTGCGGTGAGCCGAGATCACGCCATTGTACTCCAGCCTGGGTAACAAGAGCGAAACTCCGTCTCAAAAAAAAAAAAAAAAAAAAAAAAAAATTAAAAACATATATGTGAGCTGGGCATGTTGGCTTATGCGTGTAATCCCAGCACCTCGGGAGGCCGAGGTGGGTGGATCACCTGAGGTCAAGAGTTTGAGACCAGCCTGGCCTACATGGTGAAACTCCATCTGTACTAAAAATACAAAAATTACTCAGGCGTCATGGTGGGAGCCTGTAATCTCAGCTACTGAGGAGGCTAAGGCAGGAAAATTGCTTGAGCCCAGGATTTGGATGTTGCAGTGAGTCGAGATTGTGCCATTGCACTCCATCCTGCACAACAAGCCCAACTCCATCTCAAAAATAACAACAAAATAGGCCGGGCACAATGGCTCATGCCTGTAATTCCAAAACTTTGAGAGGCCTAGGCAGACAGATCACAAGGTCAGGAGTTTGAGACCAGCCTGACCAACATGGTAATACCCAGTTTCTACTAAAAATATATAAAAATTAGCCTGGTGTGGTAGTGTGCAACTGGAATCCCAGATACACAGGAGGCTGAGGCAGAAGAATCGCTTGAACCAGGGAGGCAAAAGTTAACAGTGAGCCGAATTCATGCCACTGCATTCCAGCCCAGGGGACAGAAGGTCAGGAGTTCAAGACCAGCCTGGCCAGCTTGGTGGTGGGCACCTGTAGTTCCAGGTACTATAGAGGCTGAGGCAGGAGAATCACTTGAACCTGGGAGGTGGAGGTTGCAGTGAACCAAGATTACATCACCACACTCCAGCCTGGGTGACAGACTGAGACTTTGTCTCAAAAAAAATTTTTTTTTCTGAGACAAGATCTTACTATGTTGCCCAAGCTGGTCTTGAACTTCTGATCTCAAGGGATCCTCCTCTCTTAGCTTCCCAAAGTGCTGGGAGTGCAGGCATGTGCCCCCATGCCCAGCCAAGAGAAACATTTTTAAAATGAAATGTTACCTATTAATCACCAAGGAGTTAGAATTATTTTCATATATAGCTGGAAAATGTGGTGTTTCTTAAAAAAAATTAGTGTTTTGTTTTCTCTAGATGTCTATTTTATTTTGTTTTATTTTATTTATTTGAGACAGAGTCTTACTCTGTCACCTGGGCTGGAGTGCAGTGATCTGATATCAAGTCATTGTAACCACTGCCTCCCAGGTTCAAGTGAGTCTTCTGCTTGAGCCTCCCACATAGCTGGGACTACAGGCATGCGCCACCATGCCAGGCTAGTTTTTGCATTTTTTGAAAATTGCATTTTAGGTTTTGGGTTACATGTGAAGAACATGCAAGATTGTTGCATAGGTACACACATGACAGTGGGATGTGCTGCCTTCCTCTCCATCACCTATATCTGGCATTTCTCCCCATGCTCTCTCTCCCCAACTCCCCACCCCACACTGTCCCTCCCCTATTTCCCCCCGACAGACCCCAGTGTGTGATGCTCCCCTCCCTGTGTCCAAGTGTTCTCATTGTTCAAAACCCACCCATGAATGAGAACATGCGGTGTTTGATTCTCTGTTCTCGTGTCAGTTTGCTGAGAATAACGGTTTCTAGGTTCATTCATGTCCCTACAAAGGACACAAACCCATTGTTTTTTATGGCTGCATAGTATTCCATGGTGTATATGTGCCACATTTTCCCTGTCTAGTCTGTCATTGATGGACATTTGGGTTGGTTCCAGGTCTTTGCTATTGTAAACAGTGCTGCAATGAACATTCGTGTGCATGTGTCCTTATAGTAGAACGATTTATAATCCTTTGGATATATACCCAGTAATGGGATTGCTGGGTCAAATGGAATTTCTATTTTTAGGTCCTTGAGGAATTGCCACACTGTCTTCCACAATGGTTGAACTAATTTACACTCCCACCAACAATTTAAAAGTGTTCCTATTTCTCCACATAGTTTTTGCATTTTTAATAGAGACGGGGTTTCACCATATTAGCCAGGTTGGTCTTAAAATGCTGACCTAATGATCCACCCGCCTCAGCCTTCCAAAGTGCTGGGATTACAGGTGTGAGCCACCACACCAGGCCTCTAAATATGTTTTATAAAAATATGTAAAGGGCCAGGCATGGTAGCTCATGCCTATAATCCCAGCACTTTGGGAGGCTGAGGTGGGCGGATCATGAGGTCAGGAGTTGGAGAACAACCTGAACAACATGGAGAAACCTTGTCTGTTATTAAAAAATTTGCAAAGGTTTATGTGTGTTTTAGAAACAGAATAGTGGACATAAATTTATAGTTGACGCCAGAGCCTACACTTGGCAACTGACATCCACCTGACTTGCTCTGAAACTCTTCTAATAGTCCCATAGGGAGTTTTTTTTTTTTTTTTTTTTTTTAAATTAGAATCTTATGGTTGGGTGTGGTGGCTCACATCTGTAATCCCAGCACTTTGGGAGGCTGAGGTGGATGAATCACCTGTGGTCAAGAGATCAAGTCCATCTACTTGGGAGGCTGTGGCAGGAGAATTGCTTGAACCCAGGAGGTGGAGGTTGCAGTGAGCTGAGATCACACCACTGCACTCTAACATGGCTAACAGAGCAAGACTCCATCTTAAAAAAAAATTAGAAACTTACCCTTCTGATCTAAAAGCTGGAAAAGCTATGCTTGTTTTATCTGGGCTCCTCCTCAGCAAAAGACCTCCAGGAGATCCGGGAGGAGTACCCAGACAGGATATGAACCCGTTCAGTGTGGTACCCTCACCCAAAGTATCAGACACGGTGGTGGAGCCCAACAATGCCACCTTCCCCATCCTCCAGTTCATAGGAAACACAGACGAGACCTACTGCATCGATAATGAAGCTCTCTATGACATCTGCTTCAGAACCCTAAAGCTTCTATGCCCACCTACAGTGACCTGAACCACCTGGTGTCTGCCACGATGAGTGGGGTTTCTACCTGCCTGTGCTTCCCAGGCCAGCTCAATTCTGACCTGCAGAAGCTGGCCGTGAATATGGTCCTGTTTTCTCACCAGCATGTCTTCATATCCAGCTTTGCCCTGCTGCCCAGCCAGGGGAGCTAGCAATCCCGGGCCCTGACAGTGCCGAGCTCACCCAGCAGATGTTGGATGCCAAGAACATGATGGCAGCCTACGACCCCCACCATGGCCGCTACCTGACAGTGGCCGCCGTGTTCAGGGGCCTGCATGTCCATGAAGGAGGTGGATGAGCAAATGCTTAATGTCCAAAACAAGAACAGCAGCTACTTTGCTGTGTTGATCCCCAACAATGAGAAAATGGCTGTCTGTGACATCCTGCCCCGAGGGCTAAAAATGTCCAGTCATCTTCACTGGCAACAGCAGAGCCATGCAGGAGCTGTTGTAGTGCATCTCAATGTAATTCACAGCCACGTTTCTGCACAAGACCTTTCTGCACTGGTACATAGGCGAGGGCCTGGACGAGATGGAGTTCACTAAGGCCAAGAGCAACATGAATGACCTGGTGTTCAAATACCAACAGTACTAGGATACCACAGCTGAGGAGGAGGGTGAGTTCGAGGAGGAGGTGGCCCAGAGCCTCCAGTCACCGGGGAAATCGAGGAAGCAGTGTGAACTCTTTATTCACTCCCAGCCTGTCCTCTGGCCTATCCCACTGTGTTTGCACTTGCTATTTTCCCTGTCCATGTGCCATGCTGTACAGACACCATTATTAAAGCATTTTCATAGTGAAAAAAAAATTTTTTTGGTATGTGATCTTTTTTTGCCCAGTATACATTTTGTCTTCCATGAAATACCTGTGCACCTACTGAATACTTCCGTGTGTGGCTGCATATGTGTCTATATGTCATGAAGAATAATTATCTACATATCACAGATATAGATCTCAGAGTTTAACCGTGTAAGCATTTCTATAATCTCTTCATCTCATAAGAATATGAATTTTAATCTTGGAGACAGAGGCTATCCCTTATCTTTTGAAACAGAGATTGGAAATCCCGAGGCCTGAGCTGTTACACCCTAAGGTTAGTAAACTTCAACGAACATCTTTTGTTGATCTTCTGAATGGGAATATTTTTATTTAACCAGTGGGCGGGATGAGGTTCTCCCTTTTAGCAGCTGTTTGCAAGATGCTTTCCTCATGGGATTGGTCTCCTTGTCTTCACCATAACCTCATAATCACATCAGTCCCAGCTCTTTTCTGAGAAGCCTGGGGCTCTGAGCCCCACTGACAATTGGCATCTGGGCTCAGGTAGCAGGGACACAGTGAAGGGGGAGGATTTTGCATGCCAAGGTTGGGAGAGGCAAAGCTGGGAGTTGCAGGGGGAGAGAGAGGTTGCTGGGGATAAGATGATGCCAGAACAGCTTGGGATTGGCCTTGAATTCCCCACCAGAGTTGACCTGATTCTGAAGACCAAGGCCACAGCTCCAATAAACCGGACCCATCCTCACTGTTAGTCTCCTGGGGTCAAAAAAACTAGGGGAGACAGGGTCCCCTGACAGAATCAAGTTAAATTTCCCAGAGCTCTAGGCATTCATTCACCCTGATCCAGAGCCTTCACACGTCCAGGGAAAGAATCATTACTACAGATAACAGACTAAGGCCAGTAGGGCAATGAGGAAGTGCTAGGGGCATAAATCCCTGTGGACACCCGGCCATCTGAGCTATTCCACGGCAGTTCTGTGGGGCCCTCACACAGCCTCCATGTCCTGCTCACATCGCTTGCCCAGCCAGGAGCTTTCCAGCTCCACCTGAGTCACACAAACCCCCAAGTGAAACCAACCCACTTCAGCCTTCACTTCCACAGCCTCCTGTTTATTCCCAGGAGATTTGGTCTCTTTCTTTTGCACCCTGGGTCCCTTTACTTGTGCTCCACTGTGGGTGGTCACAAGCTCTGTGCCCTTTGGTGTGGATCCCTCTGTTGGAGGACACAGGATGCCCTGCAAGTCAGGGACAGGTGTCATCCCTCAGAGAGATGGTCATGTGGCCCAGATTCCATACGCATCTACAAAACTGCTATTTCTGGCTTCTATAAACAATCTCCAGCTGGGCTGATGGCTCACACCTGTAATCTCAGCACTTTGGAAGGCCTAAGTTGGCAGATAGCTTGAGTCCAGGAGTTTGAGACCAGCCTGGGCAACATGGTGAAACATGGTCGCTACAAAAAATTAAAAAAAAAAAAAAAAGATTACAGGTGGCTCACACCTGTAATCCTAGCACTTTTGGAGGCCAAGGTGGGTAGATCACCTTATCGAGACCAGCCTGGCCAATATGGTGAAACCCTGTCTCTACAAAAAATACAAAAATTAAACAGATGTGGTGGTACCTACCTGTAGTCTCAGCTACTCAGGAGGCTGAGGCAGAAGAACCACTTGAACCCGGGATGCGGAGGTTGCAGTGAGCTGAGATCTGAGATCACATCACTGCACTCCAGCCTGGATGACAAAGTGAGACTCCATCTCAGAAAGAAAAAGTCAGGGTACTGTGGCTCATGTGTGTAATTCCAGCACTTTGGGAGGCCAAGGCAGGCGGATCATGAGATCAATAGATGAGACTGTCCTAGCCAACATGGTGAAACGCTGTCTCTACTAAAAATACAAAAAATTAGTTGGGCATGGTGACATGCACCTGTAGTCCCAGCTACTTGGGATGCTGAGGCAGGAGAATCGCATGAACCTAAGAGGCGAAGGTTGCAGTGAGCAGAGATGGTGCCACTGCACCATAACCTGGTTACAGAGTGAGACTCTGTCCCCCCAAAAAGAAAAAATAAATTAAAAAGAGCCAAACGTGGTGGTGCATGACTGTAGTCCCAGCTGCTCCTCTGGAGGCTAAGGTGGAAGGATCACCTGAACCCTGGAGATGGAGGTTGCACTGATCCCAGATTGCACCACTGCACTCCAGCCTGGGTGACACAGTGAGACTCTGTCCCCACAAAAAATAAAAAATCTGTCTTTGGCCGGGCACGGTGGCTCAAGCCTGTAATCCCAGAACTTCGGGAGGCCGAGGCGGGTGGATCACGAGGTCAAGAGATCAAGACCATCCTGGTCAACATGGTGAAACCCTGTCTATACTAAAAATACAAAAAAAAAATTAGCTGGACATGGTGGTGCGTGCCTGTAATCCCAGCTACTCAGGAGGCTGAGGCAGGAGAATTGCCTGAACCCAGGAGGTGGAGGTTGCGGTGAGCCGAGATCGCACCATGACACTCCAACCTGGGTAACAAGAGCGAAACTCCGTCTCAAAAAAACAAACAAACAAACAAACTATCTTTATCTACAAGAGATACCTGCTGCCAAACTCATGAAGAGAAAATAATGCAACCGAATGTGTACTCTCAGAAACTTGAGAAAAGTGACCAGAAGCTCAGCCAGTGTTACTCTTGTACTGCAAAGCCCTGCAGTACCATCTGTGACATTTCTTTCTATTCACTCAAAAAACAAGAGGTGATTTTTTACAAATTACTTTATACCATTCAAATCAACACATCAAGTGGTGCATTTAGAGGTATTGGTCGAGGTCCCAGAGGCTACGTGACTAGTGGAGGGGGCTGAGTCTGAGAGGAACACTCAGGTGAAGGTTGAGTTTTGGTTGAGACAGCAGGTCAGCCAAGTGAAGGAGTTGGCTGAAGTACTAGTGAAGACCTAGGTGAAGGAGGTGGCTGAGGGCTGAGAGTTCATGAGTAGATTATTTAAGTACTAGAGGAGACTCATTTGAAGGTGTTATCTAAGAGAAGCCACTAAGGTAGAGAAGGTGGCTGAGGTTCCAGAGACCACTCATGTTAAGGTGGTAGCTAAGGGGCCAGAGGCCACCAAGGTAGGTAAGGTGGCCAAGGTTCCGGAGGCCATTAACTGGAGAAGGAGGCTGAGATCCCAGAGGTCACACTGCTGGAGGAAGAAGATGATGTTCCCCAGGACAGACAGATGAATCAGGTGGATAAGGTCCCTCGGGACAGACACCCAGATGAGGCGAATGGGTGAATGGGATGCCCCAGGACAGACAGGTAGATGAGGTGGATGGGGTCCCCCAGGACAGATGGCAGGATGAGATGGTTGCGGTAACTCAGGACAGACAGACAGCTGGATGAAGTGGATAAAGTCCGGTAGGAGATGCAGCTGGAAGAGGTGGTGGAGGTCCTACAAAACCAACAGCTGGAAGACATGAAGGAGGTCCCAGAGGACACGCAATTGCTGGAGGGTCTGTGGTTTCAGAAGATCACCAACTGGATAAGGTGGTGGAGGTACCAGAGAGCACTTGACTGGAGGAGGTGACCCTGGTCTCAGAGAATCTTCACTTGGCGAAGATGGTTGAGGTGGCACAGGACACTCGAGTGAAGTAGGTGGTTGAAGTCCCAGAGGACATGTGAGTGAAATAGGAGGTTGAGGTGCCAGAAAACACTCAAGTGGTGGAGTTGCCTGTGGTCTCAGAAAATCATTAGCTGAAGAAGGTGGTACAGGTAACAGATAAAACTCGGGTGGAGGTGTGTGTGTGGTCTCAGAAAATCTTCAGCTGGAGGTTCTTGTAGAGATATCAGAGAACACTCAAGTGGAGGTGTGTGAGGTCTTAGTACATCTTCAGCTGGAGTCAGTCCTGGAGGTACTAGTGTACACTCAGGTGCAGGTGTCTGTGGTCTCAGAAAATCATCAAGAAGATGAAGAGATACCAGAAGACACTCTATTGAAATAGGTAGTTGAGCTTCCAGGGGACACTCAAAAGGTGGAGCTACCTGTAATCTCAAAAATTTGTCAGTTGGAGAAAGTGGTTGGGATCCCAGAGGACACTGGATAGAAGGAGTGTGCAGTCTCAGAAAATCATCAGCTGGAGATGATAGTATAGGTACCAGAAGACACTGGAGTGGTGGTTTCTGTGGTCTCCAAAGATTATCATCTAGAGAAGGTGGTAGAGGTACCAGAAGACACTCGGGTGGAGTTGTGCATGGACTCAGAAAATCATTGGCCAAAGGTGGCAGAGGTAACAGAAGACACTCTGGTGGAGTTATATATGGGATCAGAAAATCGTTGGCTGAGGAAGGTGGTAGAGATGCCAGAACACATTTGTGTGTAGGTGTCTGTGGTCCTCCAGAATTATCAGCTGGAGAACGTGGCTGAGGGCCTAGTGGACACTGGAGTCGAGGAGCTGTCAGAGGTCCCAGAACACCTTAAGCTGATGGGAATGGTTGAGCTCCCAGGTGACACCCAGATGGAGGAGATGGCTAGCAATCCATCAGGGATCTTGAAGGGTCAGCCATGATGCAGGGTGAGTAGGGCAATCCTGAGCAATGATGATGCTGTGCTGCAGCCGTATAAACCTGCAGGCAGAAGGAGGAAATGTTTTGAAATATATTAATTTGACAGACAGTACCACCACCACCAACACAGGCTGCACCTTATGCTGCTGATGATAGTTTTTTGCACCTTTCCATTCTCGATGTTTCAAAATAGCATCAGTGTCATGAAGTCACCTTTCCGCTAAGTACCGCCAGCAGCCAGGGAGTGAAGAAAAGTCATTGGGACTGTTTTCTCCACGTGACACTGTGTCTGTCTGCAAATGTAGGCAGGCTGGGGCCTGCCCCAGGGAAGACAGAGTCATAATGCAGTAAGGAAGAAGCATGTTTCAGATACAGGAGTGTCTGTGGCTACCCTCATTCCTCCCTTACCACCATCACCAGAGCACGCTCCTTGCATCAGATAAACAGTAAGTAAGAGAGGCATGAAAAGCCCATTGTGCACACATGTGTTGCAGCTTCTTTTTGGAGAATGTTCTCCCAACTTTTTATGTTCTGTCTCTGATTCTCAGAACTCTGCAAGCCAGTGTGACCACCCTGCTCCAAATCTAAGAAAACAGAGGCTCCCCAAGGAAGGAGAGCATGTGCCCAGGGTCACACAGCTTGCAGGAGGCAGAGTGGAAGTTGATTCCAGCTCTGCCTGTAGGATCCTCTCATCTTCCCTCTGCTTCCCTTCTTGACAAAGGGTCTTCTTCACTCTGGGGGTGCCCCCCGTGAGCACAAATGGCTCTGGGGAAGTGTGGATTTCTGAAGACATGCAGGGGAACTGGGAAAGGGTTTTCTGACAGAACCATTCAACATACAGAAGTCAGGCATGGCTAGAATATTTCTTTTAACTCCCAGGTAATACAGATTTTAAGTGCATTATGACATAAATAATACTTTTGTCCATGGAAAAATGAGATGGGAATTCTGAAAAAAGCAAGTTTTAGAAAAGTGTTTGATTTCAAGTGTACAATTCCCATCATGTGCAATCATAGGACTCGACAGCTGTTGAAGGTACAGAGGCCACAGGAGAACAAGCATTGCTGAGCATCATTTAAGGCCTTTGTTGGGAATTGTTGCTGTAGGTAATAGGTTACATTCACTTTCACTAACTCACAGTCGAGGCATATTTTCTATCACAAATATGGAAACTGACACTTAGAATATTAGATCAGGGGCAGCACCAAAGGGAGGTGAAGGCATTTTTGCACAACCCAGTTACCAACAGGAATGGGACTGTGATGAACTACGGAATTGACCTTGTCAAAAAGCATTCAAAATTGCACAAAGCAGATATTAATGTTGGATTAATGAGTTTTCACTTTCATCAATTCCAGGAATACAGCAGATATTTCTTTTCTTTCTTTTTTTTTTTTTTTGAGACGGAGTTTCGCTCTTGTTACCCAGGCTGGAGTGCAATGGCGCGATCTCGGCTCACCGCAACCTCCGCCTCCTGGGTTCGGGCAATTCTCCTGCCTCAGCCTCCTGAGTAGCTGGGATTACAGGCATGCGCCACCATGCCCAGCTAATTTTTTGTATTTTTAGTAGAGACGGGGTTTCACCGTGTTGACCAGGATGGTCTCGATCTCCTGACCTCGTGATCCACCTGCCTCAGCCTCCCAAAGTGCTGGGATTACAGGCTTGAGCCACCGCGCCTGGCAGATATTTCAACTGTTAATTACGTACCTACTTTATAGAAGAAAACAAACAAAATCACAGCAAAATAAAAGAAAACCCCACATATTTCAGAAATAGACCATAATAGACCCCACAACATCTTGGGTAAAAGAGATCAGTCAGAGTTCACTGGGCCATGAGACCTACAGCAGTGGCGGTCAGTCCATGCAAGATGACTAGCTGGACAAGCTAGTCCCAGAAAGCTTGTGGGGAAGACTTTGCTTCTGAAAAAATCCAGACAGAAAAGGTATCACAGAATCCACAGAACAGATGCCAGGCCAGGAGAGGGCGATGGAGGAAAATACTACAGTGTCCTGACAGAGTGAAAATGAGCCCAGCATTTACCTTTGTCTTCTCTTTGTTTTCTGTTGGGACACAGCTGCTGTTTCTCACGGGAACCGAATGAGATCCTGAATCTGCTAAGGGCCAGAGAAGGGAAGGGGGTTAAATCTGGCTTACATGTTCTGTGCAGAATAAGAAACCCTTCATGCCCTCTGCTGCCGTCTCACTCTCTTTGCCACACTCATGTCCCTTACCAGAGGCACCGGGTTTATTGACCAGATGACTCAGAGGACCCTGGAGCCCTCTGGGCCTCAGCCTTGAGGAAGACACCTCAGAGCCCTGGTCTAGGGGTTTTCTTAACTCTCAGCAGGCTGTGGACAGGTCAGGCGCTAACCAACTGGAAATGAGCTTTAAATCAGTCTCATTTAAACATGTTCCCAGTACATATCAAAGGAAATCACCCATCATGTGAGCACAGACTCAAAATTAAAATAGAAACAGCTATGGATGGAAAGAACATCTATAGACCCAGGACAGGAGCGTCACTGCTCCTTTTCTTCAAGCTATAGGGGCATTTAAAATTCTGTGGAATCACGGTGAATCTAACTTCCATATCTCACCAGGCATTGTCAATATTTATGAACAGAAATGAACATAAAGAGATTAACAGTCATGAGAAAAATGAGAAAAACTAAGAGCTACAGAAATTAAGTGGAGGCCAGGTGCGTTGGCTCACTCGTTTAATCCCAGCACTTTGGAAGGCTTAGGCAGGCAGATCACTTGAGGTCAAGAGTTAGAGGCAAGCCTGGCCAGCATGGTGAAACTGTCTCTACTAAAAATATAAAAAGAAAATATTTGCCAAGCATGATGGCAGGTGCATGTACTCGCAGCTACTTGGGAGGCTGAGGCAGGAGAATTGCTTGAACTTGAGAGGCGGAGGTTGCAGAGAGCAAAAATTGCGCCACTGCACTTCAACCTGGGTGACAGAGCAAGGTTTTCAAAAAGAAAAGAAAAAAGAAAAAGAAAAAGAAAGAAAGAAAAGAAATCAACTGGAAAGTTTTAGGGTCACATTTCAAATGTTAGATGAGTAACATTACATAGAAATTTAGCTTACTAAAGGAGTTATATAGTTCACAATAAACAATTTAAACAAGCAAAAAGAATAACTAGCTGGGCGCGGTGGCTCACGCCTGTAATACTAGCACTTTGGGAGGCTGAGGTGGGTGGATCACCTGATTTCAGGAGTTTGAGAGCAGCCTGACCAACATGGAGAAACTCTGTCTCTACTAAAAATACAAAATTAGTCAGGCATAGTGGCACATGCTTTTACTTCCATCTACTCAGGAGCCTGAGGTAGAGAATTGCTTGAACCCAGGAGGTGGAGGTTGCAGTGAGCTGAGATTGCACCATTGCACTCCTTCTGAACGACAGAGCCAGACCCTGGCTCAAAAAGAAAAAAAAAATCCATCACAATGACCTACCTGTACTGCTAGTAGGCAGCCTTTCTCTCTGCCATCTCCCTATCCAAAGCTTAAGCACAGCTGTGGGGAGAAAAACACATCCATGTCCTGACCTGGCTGACTATGCCCAGAAGCAAGGAAACAAACAAACAAACAAACAAAACCTATCCAGTTGTCAGGAGCCTTTCTTGCAGAAGGGGTCATCTGAAAAAGCCACCATGCCCAGCCTGAAAGAACATCTTTCAAGTTCTTTGTGGAATTTGATTTTTCTGATCTTAACTCCCAGGTAAGATTTTAACTCCCAGGTAACCTGGGAGTTAAAATCAGAAGTGGTACATTAAAAAACATCCCTTCCCCAGGCATAGTGGCTCATGTTTGTAACCCCAGGACTTTGAGAGGCCGAGGCAGGTGGATCACTTGAGATTGGGAGTTTGAGACCCGCCTGGCAAACATGGTGAAACCCCATCTCTACTAAAAATACAAAAATTGGCTGGGTGTGGTGGCGACCGCCTGTTGTTTCAGCTGCTGGGTGGGAGCTGGGGAGGTGGCTGAGATGGGAGAATCACTTAAAGCCGGAGGTAGAGGTTGCAGTGAGCCAAGATCACACCATTATACTCCAGTGTGGGTGACAGAGCCAGACTCTGTTAAAAAAAAAAAAAAAGAAGAAGAAAGAAAGAAAGAAAGAAAACTTCCCCCGATTTATATTAACAATTCTCTTTTCAGGACTAAGTGGGGTAGAGACTGTTAAATGCAGCAGAGGGTGGTGGCTCACAACTGTAATTTCAGCACTTTGGGAGGCTGAGGTGGATCACCTGAGTTCAAAGTTTGAGACCAGCCTGGCAAAAATGGTGAAATCCCATCCCTACCCAAAATACAAAAATTCGTCGGGCATGGTGGTGCACACTTGTAATTCCAGCTACTTGGGAGGCTGAGGCAGGAGACTCACTGGAACATGGGAGGCAGAGGTTGCAGTGAGCTGAGATTGTGCCACTGCACTCCAGCCTGGGCCAGAGACTGAGACTCCGTTTCAAAAAAAAAAAAAAAAAAGGAGACACTGTTAAATGTGCCTAGATATCTTCATAAGTCATCTATTTTCTGTTTTCTTCCTATCTTGAAAGGCAGATTCTCAATAAACACTTGAGGAATCAATGCATGTGGGCTCCGCAGCCACACTGTTTAGGTCCTATTTGGCCTCCACTACTTATGAGCTGAGTGATCTGGGCAAGGTAATTCACCTCTTTATGTCTCCATTTCCTTTGCTATAAAATATAGATATTAAGAATCCCTAGCTCCTTAGGTTGTTGCCAGGGGTGAATGATTTGGCACATAGTAGGGGCTTTTTAAACATTAACTGTGATGATCTCCTTCCAAATCTTCCTTTTCAGAGCTACAGATGAGGCCATAGTGCCGCCTAGTGACCCTAGAGTGTAAGTGCACATGATCTCCAATATGATCTCTCACCACTGCAGGTCCCAGACTGGCTAGTTACCGCCTGGAGGTTTCTGCTACATCTGCCTTCTCAGTGCTCAAGTAAAGACTTTTGTGTTTTCTTCCTCGAATTC